AGTAGTAGTGGTAGTAGTAGTAGAGTACTAGTAGTAGGTAGTGTAGTAGTAGTAGTAGTATAGTAGTAGTAGTAGTAGTAGTAGTAGTAGTAGTAGTAGTAGTAGTAGTAGTAGTAGTAGTAGTAGTAGTAGTGTCGTAGTAGTAGTAGTAGTAGTAGGTAGTAGTAGGTAGTAGTAGTAGTAGTAGTAGTAGTAGTAGTAGTGTAGTAGTAGTAGTAGTAGTAGTAGTCAGTAGTGGTGGGAGTAGTAGTAGTAGCAGTAGTAGTAGTAGTAGTCATAGTAATAGTAGTAGTAGTAGTAGTAGTAGTAGTAGTAGTAGTAGTAGTAGTAGTCGTACTAATAACAATAAAACAAATAGTCGTACTATCAGTAGTAGTAGTAGTAGTAGTAGTAGTAGTAGTAGTAGTAGTAGTACTAGTAGTCGTAGTAGTCTTGGTAGTGGTAGTAGCAGCAGCAGCAGTAGTAGTAGTGGTAGTAGTAAGACTAGTAGTACTAGTAGTAGTAGTAATAGTCGTAGTAGGTCGTAGTAGTCGTAGTAGTCGTAGCCGTAGTAGTCGTAGTCGTTGTAGTAGTAGTAATAAAAGTAACACCAGCAATATTAATGATAGTCGTAGTAGCAGTGGTAGTAGTGCTCGTCGTAGTAGTGGTAGTAGCAGTAGTAGTTGTAGTAGTAGTAGCGGTAGTAGTAGTACTAGTGGTAGTAGTAGAAGTATTCGTGGTGGTCGTCGTGGCAGTGATTGTCGTAGTGGTCGTAGATTTAGTGGTAGTAGTAGTCGTGGTAGTAGCAATCGTAGCCGTAGTCGTGGTAGTAGTAGTAGTAGCAGCAGTAGTAGTAGTAGGAGTATTAGTCGTAGTAGTAGTAGTCGTAGTCGTAGTAGTAGTAGTAGTAGTAGTAGTAGTAGTAGTAGTAGCCGTAGTACCAGTAGTAGTAGTAGTAGTAGTAGTAGTAGTAGTAGTAGTAGTCGTGTTAGTACTAGTAATCGTAGTAGTAGTCGTAGTGGTAGTGGTGGTAGTAGTAGTTGTAGTTGTAGTCGTAGTAGTAGTAGTAGTAGTAGTAGTCGTAGTAGTAGTAGTAGTAGTAGTAGTAGTGGTAGTAGTAGTAGTAGTAGTAGTAGTAGTAGTGGTAGTAGTAGTCGTCGTAGTAGTCGTAGTGGTAGTGGTGGTAGAAATAGTAGTAGTCGTAGTCGTAGTAGTGGTAGTAGTAGTAGCAGTAGTAGTAGTAGTAGTAGTAGTAGTAGTAGTAGTAGTAGTAGTAGTCGTAGTAGTAGTAGTAGTAGTAGTTCGTAGTATTAGTAGTAGTCGTAGTAATAATAATAATGTTCGCACAATGGGGGCGCGCTATAATTCACATGCAATGGGGATGCGCTGGAATTCGAACACACGAAAAGACAATGTAATTCGAATGCAACGCGAAAGCGATCTGCTTCGAACGCAAGACGAACACGTGGGAATCGGAACGCGTAGGGCTCGAATACAATAATAATACAGTCGGCTTCAGCAGCGCTATGAATGCAATCGAATTCGAATGCAGTGGGGATCTTGCAAAACTTGTTCCCAATAGAAACCGAAGACCATAGGGATACACGAGGAACCGACTGCAATAGGGATGCAATAGATCAACCAACGTTGGCTCCAAATAGATCGTGGGATGAGGACGAGAGGAGGGCGGGGGCAGGGCGGGAGGATAACGGGGGGAACAATATCAAGTAGGCGCAAGCAAGCAAGCGGAAGCAAGCACACGCAAACGAGCAATAACAAGCAAGCAGGAGCCGGCGATCAAGTGCAAGCAAGCAAGGGCAAGCAAGCAAGCGCGCAAGTGCATAGGCGTAGGCACAGGCGTAGGAGTGAAAGGGGAGGCATCGGCATGGCATAGCCATATGAATTAAAAGGGGGGGGAATGGACCAATTAGGTTGCAGGTTACAGGCTGCGTCTCCGATGGAGGCCCGCGCGGCGCGCATGGCGACGCAGCGCTGCGCGTCTCAGAAAAGTTGGCGGCGACCGCGAAACGAACAAAGGGGCAAGAGGACGTAGCAGTGACGCGTGCACCCTCACTGCGCGTGCCAATCTGCAAACTTGTCGGTCTGCGCAACCCGCCGCGTCCGGTCCAGGGCCTGCTGTGCCCACTATTAAAAGTTCTCCTCCGCTGCGTAGCGCCTGATGGAGTCCTCCCACTTCATCCATCTTCTTCGCCGCCTCGCTTATCGACTCAACCATGGTGAGCGTCGATTTGCGCGGGGTGTAAGACAGCGAGATGTCTCCTGACGCCTTCGTCCTTCCGACATCGTTGCCGAAATCCACCTCCAGAGTGCTTGCTGCCGCGCCAAGTCCTGTGGGCGTTCGCGTGGGCGATGCGCGCCGGCACGTCTTCTAGGCCCCTTGCGCCAAAACCTGCGCCTGGAATGCCGAGCGGACTTCTCGATTGCGGCAACGTGTGCGGAGCGCCTGTCGACCTTGTTGAGGATGTCCGTTCGGCATTGCACGTAGCTCTCTCCGTCGCTGCGCGCGTCGTCGTCGGCGACTTCGAGGAAGTACTTAAGACTTAACTTGCAGAACCACTCCCTGCCACAGTAAGCCTGATTCGCGACTGCCTCAACCTCCGATTTTGACGCTGCGTTTCCGGCAGATACTCTGGGGATGCGTGAATTCCCGGCGCAGTGGTGGACCAACGTCTCGACGTCGGTCTCTGCAACCGAGTTGCCGATCTTCAGCTCGGCCTTGTTGCTGTTGAAGGTTGGCATGGCTCGGACTGCGCGCTCGATTCCGCGCCCGACTGACGCGCGGCGCATCGCGATGCACCCACCTATTGGAGATGCTAGTGCTATATTCGGCTAGATCGCGGTTAGAGGTCCAGGTGCTTGGCGGATTCTGTCGTCAGCACCTGCTTGAACTCCGCGTCTAGGTGGATGAGGTCCAGCACGCAGACCCCTGGCAAGAGCCTCGCGCCTCCTCATGCCCGGCAAGTCCGACTGTTCTGCTGCTACGATGGTCATGTACTCTGGCCTATGATGTCGCACCTCGCATAGTCCACGCCAACTCTAGCTCATGTCTGTGAATTTTGGGTGCGGGCGGCTGGGCCCTGAAAAGTACAGCGTTGTTGTGCAGCAGAGGGGGGTCTCCAGAAGTGCAGCGTCTTTGCGCAGCAAGGCAACAGACCAAGTAGTAGGGTTTGAGTAGAAGTCCTATAGCAAGCCTACTTGGAGAAGCAGTCGAATACAGTAGGCCTGCACTTAGAAACCGAATGTCATACGAATGTGCTAGCATTCGCATACAACACGAATGCAATACGATTCGCCGGCGACACGAAGGTGAAGTGTGAAGCAGCCTTTTTTCGGTGTGTTCGTTAATTAAAAGGCCTCGTACTATTTGCTCGTGATGAATCGTGCACGAAGATGGTGCGGAATGTAGCCGACGCGAAGGTGGGGTGTGAAACTGATGTTTCCCATAGTTCGTGTAAGCGGACCCAATGCTGCCGCCCTGCAATCTGGAGTGGGCGAAGTTAGGGTGTGGCCAGAAACGAAGTCCACGTGCGACCCTACTACTACTACTACTACCCCTGCGACTCACTGTCCTACTACTACTACTACTACGACTACTACGACTACTACGACTACTACGACTACTACTACTACTACTACTACCACTACTACTACTACTACTACTACTACTACTACTACTACTACTACTACTACTAATAAGTCCGATATTTTTTATGGGATTTTTGGGGCGGCGCCCGCGACGTCTGAGGGGGCTCCCAGAGAGCTCCCTCAGAGTTCGAGTCTGGCTCTCCGTCCTTCGCGAAGAGCGAAGCCGTCTGCGTTCGACGTTGGGTCGAAAACAAACTCCTTTGCTCTTCCCCAGGGGCCGCCGCAGATGGTCCCCTGGGTTCCCGCGCTGCTTTGGCCGCCCCCTCGCGCGTGACATTTGCGAGGCTGGTAGCCCCGCAGAGTCTGCGCGACGGGGCGACCGGTACCGCGCGGGAGCCCCCCCTCGTCGACAAACCTATTTGCGCTCTCGAGGGGGGGGGGGGGTAGGTTCATCGACAGGAGGCGAAATATGTTGTGTTCTCACTCTGGCCATGCCTTATACTTTTTCGAACCCATAATAACATTAAGAATTATAATGAAAACGGCGGTGTGGCGGCCGGTCGAAAAAGAGGTTTGTGTCAATTGTTTGCTACTCCCGAGAAACCTTACCGCGGGCGTCGATCCGAGTCCGGCGTGGCGCACTGAGCCTTCTCTACCGAATATCAATCGCCTTTAATTTTCCTGGGATATACAATCCTGCTGCTTGGCGGCGCCTCCGACGGCCCAGCCTCTCAGCGGCCGTGCTCGCGATGCGGAGGGCGGTCCGGCCAGAACCACCGCGCCGGGGGCTCGCCACCGCTTGACTCCTCCTCCGTCAGCACGTCGTCCTCCCCATCCACCTGGGTCGGAAGGTCGCCTGGGGCACGCGGCGGGGCACGATCGGCAGAAGGCCCCTCGTCCTCCTCGTCTGGGATGGGCTCGGACGACTCTCCGCCCTCCCCCTCGGCCAGCGTGGCGTCAGAGAGCTCGCTGGTGGGGTTCGCCGCTTCTTCCCCACTTTCGCCCATCGACTCGCCCTCGAACCTGGCGTATTGCTGGCCATCGAAGGCAGGCGAGCTGAGCGGAGCTTCGTGGGGAAGGCCCGCAGCAGCAGCCGTGCGCGGCGTGCCGTCGTCCGGGCTGACCTCCGACAACGACGACGACGACGCTCCCGACGGTCAGGCGACGACGAAGACTCCGACAACGACGACGACGGCGATCACGAGGAAGACGAGCACGACGACGACGACCTCGGCAGCCAGCGGCAGAACGCCCCAAGTTACGGCGTTTCGCGGACCCGGCGGAGCGGCGGGAAGCGCTGGGGCGGGTGCGGCATGTCGTCTGTGGGGCGGCGTGGCGACAGCGGCCATGGGCTGAGGCGCTCCGTCAGGGGCCGCCGCTGGCGGGGCTGTGGGGCCCCCCTCTCGCGCCGGGTCCGTCTGGCGTGCGATGCGGCGCGCATGGTCCGCGAGCCAGTTCAGGCGAATCTCGTCCTCCGTGAGGCACTTCGATATGCTCTCACCCAGCTCCGCCCTGTAGGCCGCGAACTCCGCCTCATATCGGCTCTGGATGAACTCGTGGGCCCAGTGGAGTTCTTCGAGAAAGTCCATCCTGGCATCGCTGGCGGAGAATGCAGCCGGAGGCAGGGGCGACGGCGTCGGCGCGGCGAGAGCTGGCGTCGCGGCGGCGGGGGCCGCGGCCGCGGGAGCCGACGCGATCCCCGCTGGCGTCGCCACCGCTGGGGCAGCCGGGCCAGGTGCCTCCGGCGAGCTGGGGGTCATTTCGACGTGGCCTAGTGCCTCCTCCCAGTGAGCGGCCGCTACGGGGTTGCACCCCGCACTGCTGGCCGCCTTGCGAGCGGTGGGGGGCTCCGGCGCC